CTGGCACGCAATACCTCATGCTCGACACTGCGGCATATAAACCATTTGTCCAAGCATTCAGGTACAAAAACACCGAAGCTGCTTAATCAAAAGCTTTTGGAGATTAATTGCCTCCTTTAATCTCCTTGGATAATGTTCACAAAACTCAAACAATTTCAGCCAGTTTAGAGTCCAGAACCTTTGAAATTGTTACTTAACCCGCTAAAACTTTAAAAAACCTTTATGCTTTCACAAAATTCATAACATTTGAAGTTTTTCCAACCTACCCAAATCGGCGTACTCTCGTACTTTTCTCAACATATCCCCCAACTTTAAATATTATTTTCACAACGGCTAAATACCCACATTGGTATTTTAATTCCACCCCATTTACCAAGAAGGTATATTAATTAGGCAAATATGTTTTAAGGCACACATTGGTATTTTAATTCCACCCCATTTACCAAGAAGGTATATTAATTAGGCAAATATGTTTTAAGGCATTTTAATTGATTCAACTTACCAACAAGGTACCAAGAAGGTATATTAATTAGGCAAATATGTTTTAAGGCATTTTAATTGATTCAACTTACCAACAAGGTTATTTTTCTCGTCGGCGACCAGTTTTTCGACGAGAGCTCGTCATGTGCGTGACACGTGATGACTTAAACTGTTTTTTTGCTGCTGATGTGACACGGATCTGTCCTATTTTGGGTGAATTAGGATTTTTAGAGGGTTAATTCCCACCTTTAAACACTGCCACGTCAGAAAATCTGTACCACATCAGCAGCTAAAAAGCAGTTTAAGTCATCACGTGCCATGCACGTGACGAGCTCTCGCCAAAAAACTAGTTGCCAATGAGAAAAAAAGGCCTTGTTGGTAAGTTGAATCAATTAAAATACCTTAAAACAGGTTTTCCTAATTAAAATACCTTCTTGGTAAACGGGGTGGAATTAAAATACCAATATGGGTATTTAGCCTTTTCACAACTTTCGACATTATATTCAGAAAATCCAACTTGCAACATTTAAGTTTAGAAAACAGCCATGAACTTTTGATGAGCTGGTAAAAATACCTAATTATGCTGTTATTTTGGCGCATGTGGAAAATATTTGAAACGTTGTGGGGGGCCCCAAAAGCTTCAGGGGTTTAAGCAAATCAAAGTTGGCCATAATTTATGCATGTTTTGTGAGAATTGGGATCCTCTCAACTATTAGAAAAGTAATAGAGACAACTACTATATCATAAATCTCTTGATATATTTGGTGGATAGTTATGATTCATTCTAAATCTAATACTTACCATATCCCAATGAATTACACTTTTTTCTAATTTACACTAAAAACAAATTCCGAATACAGTGAAGAATCCGAATTAGTTTTTTGAACTTCGACCTTCCCTCGTCCACTAACTTATTCATGATTGTATACCTACCAATGCTTTTAACGAAGTTATCCCCTGTCTTACCTTTACCTATTATAATTCATTCTCTATTAAATACAACCTTAGAGCTAGGATAATACTTTAAATGGCAGTTATTATCTTGCAAAAGCTAGCAGGGTCTATTTGTAAGTTTAACCCCCACTGGATCTCTTCTAATCTTCACTGACAAATTCGAAAATGTCAAAACCCATTAAAATGCTAAATTTAAAAATAGACCCTCTACAAATCCAAAATTACAAAAAACGCCCTACACAATAAGAAATTACAAAACCCTCTAATATAAAATAATTACAAACTACTCTCTGAATAATTCAAAATTTTAAAATGTCTCTCTAAAATTTTGAAACTTATAAGAAAAATACTAAAAATTGAAATTTACAATCTGCAAAAAGGAAATTTTAAATTTCAAAATTTACAAATAAAACCCTAAAAATTTTAAACTTTTAAAAAGCCTTACTAAAAAAACTAAAACGTACAAACAGTGCAAACAGTAAACTGAATTTAAAGATTACAAACAATTTCAGAAAATTCCCAAAATCTCCAAAAAGGTCCTTAAAGTTTCAGAATAATATAGAAACAACCTTAAATTCATAATTTACCAAACACAATCCGAAAATTTGAAAACGTACAAACAGCACAATGAAAATCTAGAAATAACTAGAAACCAAATCAAAATCTAAAAGTTGCAAACAAAAATACTAAAAAATAATATGAAATTTTTAAAAAACCTCACAAATTCAAAAGTTACATAAAAAAATGTAAACGTTTCAAAAATTACATACAGATTACAAAAGAAATCTAAAAACTACAAATATTCCCCAAAATTTTTTGAAATTTACTATAAGCATCCTTTAACATAAAAAATTACCAAAATACCTTGGAAAATTTCCTAAAATTAAAAAACTTTCTGTAAATTTTTTGAGGGTTCTATTTGTAAGTATTATAAATTGCAAATTTTTTTTGTACATTTCAAATTTCACATCATGTTTTTTTTACAAATTTTCGTATTACAGGGTTCTTTTATAAATTTCTAATATTTCATTTGGTTGTTTATAAATTTCTGATTTCAGGGGGCCATTTGCATTTCTTTTAAATTTTTATTTTTTCATATATGTTGTATTTTTAAGGTGCTTTTTTTATTTTTTCTAAAACTTTCAGGGTGCCTTTTGTGAATTCCACGGTACTCCGGGTGCTATTTGTATGTGTTGAAATTTTCAAGGATTTTTTTATAAGTATTAGTAATTACGAGTTTGTAAGGGGGTCTATGTAATTTGAGAATCGTTGAAGGGTATCTTTGTAAATTTTGATATTTGAGCTTGATGTTTGTAGCGTTTAGATTTTCGGGGGCTATTTACATCTTTAATGTTTTAAGGCTATTTATCCTAAATTAGTGTACTTAATGGTCTTCTTAATGGTCAAATCACTACATACGTGATCAAACTGATAATATTAGTTCTCTCTGATTTTATACTCAATGGATGTAACCTCTAATTTTTGTCGATGCTTTCAGGTCTCATGTTAAAATGCGGCCCATAAACACCACTGGAATTGTAAACTTTGAGCTGTGTTATAAAGTGAAGAGGCCACCATCGAGATTTCCCGCACTGGTGTTCCATTTTGAAGGTGCGGATTGGGAGATGCCGTTGAAGAATTACATGGTGTTTGATGAGGAGTCGGGGTTGTTTTGCCTAATGGTGATCGAGTCACCGGGGATGTCGACATTTGGGAATGTGCAGACCCAGAATATGCATGTGTTGTATAATTTGGAGAAGGATCAGCTCTCCTTTGCTCCAGCCAAATGCGATAAGCTTTGAATGGATGGAGCGTGTGAATTAGATGTTTTGGAAACTGTTGTGCGATTCTGTGTGCTCTTGTAAGGGGATCAATAATGGCATGTGGAAAGAAAGTGTTCTATTATATATCTAATGACTAATGCTATTCTCATTGGAAGAAGGCTAACATATACTGTCGAACAAATAACGACTAATGATGTTCTCAGTAGAACGGTGACATATATATATACTGTCCAACAAATAACAAGGAAAATTTTCACTAAATACCTATGAACCCCCTTACGCAGAAACTGTCATGTACTTCTAAAATTAGAGAAAACACTTTCTTTTGCTTTTCCCCCCAACCCCCGCCCCCCAAAAAAAACTCCTCAAAAAAAAACTTTCTTTTGCTTTTTCCCCTTATAGCTTTCCCCATAAAAATGAGTGAATCATAATCCTATAAGATAAATCCTTACGGAAAATAAAAAATATCTAACCTTAGCCTTTCTCTGCACAAACATATTTTGATTCACTTGACCTAAATGCAGTAAATATTTTATCCAAACCAATTGTGATATATCTATATCAATTTTTTTTTATGTCAGAAACTTAATTATGAGGATTAGGGTGGATTTGGGAGAACTTAGGGTCCTTCAATCCTCTTTGATGGCTGATCACTTTGAAAAAAAGAACATTCATGCACAAATGTAGAATGTCAGAGGATCGGAGACGAGTTCTCTAGTGGTTCCTTCGATGATCAAGTTAGTGAAGTTCTTAAGGCAAAGAGATGTATGAAATAAGTAATTTTTAGGGTTTTCTATCATAGAGAACAACGTACCTTCATGCAGAAGACAATCTACATACTTATAATGAGCCGAAAAGAGTAGTTGTATAAGTTCGACCGGGTCCATGCAGTTAGCTTTGTCAGCTAACACTTTACACGCGTCAACAGTTTGTGGTCCATGTCATCTTTGCGTTAATGCGGTGGTGAGAGAGGAGTTAAGGTGCTGGCATGGTCAAAGGAGTTATTATGACTTTAGTGGAGTAGTAATGATGGCTCTGGCCATGCATGTAATGTGACGGTGACTAGCTGACGTTGCTAGGGAAGAGGAAGCAGATAGGTTCCCCTGTGAATCAAGATGCATTTCTAGGTCTAAGTAGAGATGTTTTTCATCTTGGTCCATTGAGAAAGTATCATTAAGGATGCATTTTGTCTCAATCCTTCAAGAGAGTCCGAGTGAAGACGTCTTTCATCTCGAGCTTTTGAGAGAAAGCCTGGGTGTGGACGCCTTTCATCTCGGGTCTCAAAGTACTTCAATGTGGGGTGCTAGCATTCATGAGACCAAGATCGGGTTGGTGATATAATGCTTAAGTTGGCTAGTGGAGACACGTGTCGTCCTCTCAAGAGTAGTTTATCCTTAGCAATTTATGTGATATAACATTTAGCCCTTTCACTTGAACTCACGTTGCTGAGTTTGAGTGAAATTCAAATTGTCTCTTAGGAATCTAAGGCTCATTTAATATGAGGGGAGATTATGCATCGGCTAATGGGGATGCTACTTTGGTTTCCGAGTGGTTGCCTCAAATCTTGCATGACTTTTTAACCGTCCTTCAATAAACAAGTCCTTAGCTTAGATTATGCTATGTGTCCACTCCTTAATCTATGTATTCACCTACTTCTCCAATAACTTTGTCTACTAGTATTCAAGAGCCTGTAGTTCGCTCACCATGTTTGTGTGATTTCTGATCATCTCCTTCAATTTTCTTGGTCTTGACCGGAATCTATAACTACCTCTGCTCTAAGCACTCCTACTTGCAATGAAGTTAGGATCACTTTGCTTTGGGAGTTTCATTCCAAGGTTCTCCCATCGATCATTGAGACTTACTATGACCAGTTCGATATTCCCTAGGGGTTTACTCTACAAGCATTGTCAAAAGATCAGCAAGTCTACCATCAGAGTGGGAACATGAATCCAGTATACTTCCACCATTTGTAGTATGGTTTATGCTTTTTAATTCATCCCTTTCTCCAACAAGTCTTCAAGGTCCTAGTGACCTCGTTGTCATAGCTAAAGGCTAAGTAGATAAAAGCCAATGCCACCGAAATATTAGCTCGATTGGTAGTTATAAGCCCGACCATGACTCATGCCAGGAGGTTGGAGAAGAGGAGGAGGAGGAAGCTAAAGATGTAGAGTTAGGGCCCTTCAGGGGACGATGTGCCCTCGAAGAAGGTAGGGGTTGAAGCGGAGGTGAGCACTCCCCTTTTTGCTCAAGGGGGAGGTAGTGATTTGGCAACTAGGTGTGGCCCTATCCCTACAAGTGAGTGAAGCCACACCCGGGCCTACGGGTGAGGTCTCTACTCTTTCAACCTAGGGAAGTCCCCAGGTCACTACGTCTGATGTCATTAATTTGGAAGACGAGTCCTTAGCGGAGGGTGCATGATATGGGTGTATCTTCTCTTCGGAACTTAGCGATCCTCATGGGAGCTTGAGGATAAATGATTCTCATGCTAGCATGAGAATAGAGGTGTCAAACAGTATAAGGGAACACAGGAGAAAGCGTGGAACGAGACGACGAGCAGAAGAATCGAAGTACCCAGTTTTCAGCCTGTGAGTCGACTCCATTACAGTCATGAGTCGACTCATCAGGTTGAGTCGACTCATGACTGTCATGAGTCGACTCATCGCTGGTTGTTTAGTTTTGTCCAGTTTTTGTCGAGTCGACTCATCTCAGTCATGAGTCGACTCATCGATGGTTTCCTGGTTCGTTTGGGATTCTGTTCACGCGTTTTCCTGTTGGTTTTGGGTCTGGTTATTTACCAAACTACCATCCACATTTGTACACCTATATAAGGGATTTTTTTAAGGTTTCTAAACATCTTGGAGATCAGAGAGTTTAATCAAGAGAGATTAGATTCTAGATTGAGATTTGGAGAGCTTGTTCTTCAATTCTAGAGTGAGATTCTGAGGGAGAGATTGTAATCTTTTGTTCTTCATAATCTAGAGAAGGTATTTTCCTTCGCCAAACTGAATTGTTCTTGTGTTTTGGTCGTCCTCTTCTCAACCCACCTTTTGGTAATTCCGCGACCAAAGGGTGCTCACACGGCAACTCGTATCAAGTTGGTATCAGAGCGATCAGATCCTACGAAGGGGGCATCCTGTGCATGGTCCTGACTCGATCGCAATACAAGAAGCTTGGCGAGATCCTTACTTCCTTGGAAGGAGTCCAAGATTTAAGGAAGGAGAAGATGACTGAATGAGACAATTCAGCGAGGATTGATGCATTGGAGAAGCAGATCGAGACGATAGGTTCGACTCTCACACAACTCGTCAGTCTTATCCATGGAGGTGGCAAACAAGGTGAATCTTCTTCGAAGAAAATTGTTGAGTCCGATGTGGAGAGAGTAGATTCAGATTCCGACGAGGAGGAAGAGACCGTTAAGACTGCATTGCATCAAGGTGGTAAGAATTCTTATCAGAACCTGAAGATTGACTTCAAGGTTGAGATTCCTATTTATGATGGGAGTGTTGACGTTGAGAGGCTCGATGATTGGATTGAGCGTATGGAGATGTACTTCACCCTCTACGGAAATTCATCCAAAGAGAAGATCGTGTTCGCGACATTGAAGCTTTCAGGACACGCATTGACGTGGTGGAAATCCTATTGCAAACAGGAGAAGAAGGCAGCGTCGTGGAACAAATTCAATGAGCTACTCAGGAAACAGTTCTATCCTGTGAGGTTCCTTGAGGAGTGTTGGTACAAGTGGTACGGCTTGCGCCAAAGGGTCAATCAAACCGTTCAAGAATACACCACGGAGTTCCAGCAGCAGGCGATGGTCCTCAACATTGTGACAAAGGAATATTCCGTGTTTATAAAGTATATGGCGGGATTGAGCGATCACATCTGAAAGGAGATGAGGCTATTCACGGTGGAATCAATTGCAGAGGCGAGCGTGAAGGCAATTGCCATTGAGGGTAGGCAAAAGAAGGGCAACGAGGCTAAGGGAGACTCCAAACAGACGGGGGGCGAGTCTAGTGGTTCTCAATCTAAGGAGGAGAAGAAGAAGGATGATCCAGGGAAAGCAGGGCTAGTTTGTAGTCACTGCGAGAAGACAGGGCATACAGTTGATCGGTGTTGGGAGAAGTATCCTCATCTCAAGCCAAGAGGGTTGAAGAAGAAGGAGGAGAAAAATGCATACATGATAGCTCAAGATCCGAAGGAAATTCCGGGGATGACAGAGCCCAACAACATTCTCAACCTTATGGTGGGAAAACAGGCCACGAGAGAGGACGACGACCCGAGAGAGCAACTCTTTGTTCTTAAGTTGCAAGTGAAGACCAGTTTAGTTGATGCCATTGTTGATTCAGGCAGCGAGAAGAATTTGATATCTGAGGCATTGGTGCAGAAGCTAGGTCTGAAGACGGTCAAGCATCCGAAGCCCTATCCATTGGGGTGGATTCAGTAGGAGGAGAAACTGAGTGTAGTTGATCAATGCACTGTCAGATTTACGCTCCACGAGTCGTATATTGATGAGGTCACGTGCGACGTTGTTCTATATTGATGAGGTCCGTACTTATGGGATAGATATGCGATCTACGAGAGGCAGGCTCAGAAGTACACCTTCACCAAATATGGTGTAAAGTTCATATTTCGTTCGGCATCTCTTTCGAAGGAGATAAGCTTGGGCACGGTGACGCGAGCGAAGAGACTAGTGAATGCAAGCAAGAAGTTTGTCTCGCTGTGCATTAGACTTCCAGATAAGCCTTCGACAAAGGATTGCAACTTCGAGCGAACGGTGACTATGACGAGATGCGGGACGAATGAGTTGTTTCCGATCGGACGTCAAGACCGAATTCCTAGCAAGGCCAGGTGGTGCAGAAAAGATGGAGGAGCTCGAGAGTTTCCTCAGCTGAAGTTCTAACTTGAACGGGACTTCAAGTTCTTAAAGAGGGGACACATGATACGGGTGTATCTTCTCTTCGGAACTTACCGATCCTCATGGGAGCTTGAGGATAGATGATTCTCATGCTAGCATGAGAATAGAGGTGTCAAACAGTATAAGGGAACACAGGAGAAAGCGTGGAACGAGACGACGAGCAGAAGAATCGAAGTACCCAGTTTTCAGCCTGTGAGTCGACTCATTACAGTCATGAGTCGACTCATCAGGTTGAGTCGACTCAT